CTTTGAAAATCCTGTTCAGGATTTGGTTCGTCTGGACTGGTCGTCGGTTTCGACAAACTGTAGGGCTCGGTAGATCCATCGTTGTTTTTGGTGTTACGTGGCAAGTCGTCTGCACGACGTGGCTGCGTAGCCATTGCACAACGTGTCTTTAAATTGGGATCACGCATGGTGATTATCTGGCTGCCGTCGGCCGCGTTCTTGATATTGCTTTCTGTCACGATATCAAACGGTCTGCTGAGCAGCACCTTGTAAGCTGGACTTTCGAAAATGTGCACTTGCAAGTAGACCAGGATGGTCCCAAACCTGAAGGGTACATTTCTCGCTAATCCCAGTGATTTAGAGATAGATCCATTTGCGCTTTCCACATAGATGACGACTTTCGGGTCCCAGCTCAATTGTGCGTCGACGGCTTCTGAGAAGGCCATCGAGACAATCTGGGATCCACTGTCTAGGATGCAGTCCGCATCGAGACGCGCGTTAATCCGTCCGTTTATCGTTCTGAGAGCAGCCGACGAATCACCAACATAGACATGCCTTGGGTTCTCATTAGAGGGTATCAACTCCAAGTACATCTCATATGGGTCCGTTGCGACAACTGCGCCAATGGGAATTTCTCCTTCAACTGTGTTATGATAGAACACAGGCTCGGGCAATTCCTTAGCACTGACTAGGTTGTAGCTCAGTTCTCCATCCCAAACGTCTTCAACGACGCGACGAGTTTCTTGAAGCATGGACTTCTGAACCGGTACTCGTTTCTTCGAAGAGTCCTTCAGGATGGAGTCGCGGACAGTCCCCGAAACTGCTAGGAGTTCACCCACAGTGACGTCGACTGACGCGTTTTTCATTTTGTCGTAGACTGCTTCTGCCACAGCCTTCTTTTGAATTGGTGCACGCAACTGGTATTTATCTGGAACGCGCGCTTTTGAAGAATGTACTGGTTCTTGTAGAACGGGCTTGACTTTCTCAAATGGCAGTTCCTTTCTCTTTTCGATGTTGTCGCGCACTGATTCCTCATCATCGTCGCAATCACTAACTTCTTCAATAATCACAGGTTTCCTCGGTTTCTCTCGTCGCTCAGCTCGTTTATCATGGTCCTCAGAGGGCTTGGCTGAGTTTGTAGGTTTAGCCCCCTTCCTTGAACCATTTAGAAACCCGAGTTGTTATCGTCGCGCTCAGGTTGGCTATTCGCACCACGACGGGTTTGAATGAACTGCTCCTGAGTCTGAGGATAACCACTGTTCATGTTGTTGAAGTAGCCGGCCATGGCGTCGGTCATGGCTTTCTGCATGAACTGGCCCATGGCACTTTCCATTGCATTGCTGGTCGAACCAGATGCAGCTCTTTGAGTCTTCGGCTCAGCGCGACTCTCTGGAGTTGGCCGCGATGACTTCCTCTCGTATTGGATGAGTTGACTACGAAGGGAGCGTATCTCATCTGCCACTTCTTCAGGGTAGTCGGACATATCATCATTGTCGCGGCTATCGAACTGATCCAAGTAGTAGGAGTCTTGGAAGTTGACGGACTTGCCCTTCTTCTTCCAATAAGCCTCTACTCGTTGTCCCTGAGTCCCTTCTCCATTTGGTAAGAAGCTGTCGTCAAAGAGCCTCCACATCCCTTTGGTGTCTACTTTGAGAAGGTTTTTCTCAATGTGAGACCTCTTGAGCGGGCACTCGTTCGACCAATGACCAGTTTGTCCACAGTAGCGACAGTCGTCGTTTCGTGCGGCAGCTCCTCCTTGTGCGCGACTTTCAAAATGGGGCACAGAAGAGTTGTTGCCTACTGGCCGCGACCGCTGTATGGGCGCTTCGCGAGCAGTCTGTACGAATGTCTTCAGCGCTTCCTGCAACTGAGTCTGTAGCTCTTTTTAATGTAGAAGAAATGAGTCCTTCAAGTTGGAAATCGAGTTTTCCAACTCCTCAACCTTAGCATGGTTGGGTGGACTGGTCTCATAGTCGAAGCGAACCTTGGGAGGCCGCGCGATTATGGGAATTTCGTCTTCGTTGCTCAACGTCGACGCCATTTCTTCCGCCATTGTCATTAGCTCTTTCAGCTGGATGGGGTCGTCCTGCCGGTTGACTCCAGTCGCGGGAACATTAGCGTTTGCTATCCCGGCGCGAGTTTGGTAGCGCTTATTGAATACTTGACTCGTAGCCAAAGCGTTCCTCAAGACGGTACTGAACTCAGAGTCCAAAGTACGCATGTAGCGTTCACACGCGACTTTGTTGGTAATCATGGCAGGAGGGACTGACAGTCGCTTGTAGTGACTATACATTTGAAGGCCGAAACGCTTCAAATCTCCCTCATCCGTGATTTTGATTCCACGGTTCTCGCGACAGAGTCTATCTAGATCTGCCATGGTCCCCGTTTTTCGCTTGGATACCTCAGGGTATCCTTTTAATATTTCGGCCTCGAACTCCGCGACAGTTTTCGTGTCGTCGGAATAGGTATCGAGACCTTCCCATACGTCCATCACTTTGCCGCAACGGCAAATAATGGATGTACATACTTTTTGCTTGTTTGACATCTGTAATGCCACCATCCTCCACAATCTGCACGCAGTGACGCAAATATGCCTCGATCAACAAAGGATCCTTTTCATCAAGTATAGGTCTACTTGTGTCCCAAGGTTGAGGGATTTTGAACCCAGTCTTTGGAGCCATAGTTGTCGCGACTGAAGTCACAGGGCAAGTAGGGATGTTGTTAGAATTCGTGTTTGTAGCGGTGACGCTACTAGACAATTCTGAGAGGGTTTGTGAGCTAGTCTGAGATCGACTGATTGTCGTCGAACTCGAAGTAGCTGCGTCTAAAGCTGGGAGCTTCAACGTCGAATTCACTCTTTGTTTTCCTTTTGCCTTGGAAGGCAAGGGTGGTAGATACAAAGGTGTTTTATGTCTTGCAGACCTTCGTGGTTTTTCGAAAGGTCCTGAAGTTGAAGCGTTTCCTTCAGTCTCAATCTCTGCTTGGTCCTCAAGAGGTCGCGCAGGAGCTTGGGATCGAAATAAACTGCTTCGCAGGATAAACCCTTGGTCTCTATCCGACGTCGCGGTAAAGAATCCGGTTTATTGATTTTTAAAGTTTATGAAACTTTAGAAGCCCCTTGCGGTGGGCTCCAGATGAAATGCTGAGGGCGTGCTCACAAGTGAATCTACTATGAAAGTAAACCCAAATATAAACACGTTCACACTCCTCGTAATCAGCTTCTCAGTGTGTGAAAGATGCGAGGGCTTCGGGGTGGACAGAACACCAGTATCACAACTCTCAATAGACGCAGATCCAATAGTCGCGGAAGACGAAGTCGACGACAAGGATATATATATGTAGCAAACAGTGGTGTCTCAACCAATATCTTCTATACAAACACAACCAACACTAATAAAATCCACAAACAACAATATAACAAGTCAGAACTTAATACGAAGTATTAAGATCCCTTGTAGCGACAGCGTCTAGATGGCGACACAAAGCCCTAAATATCAAGTCGACGCACTGCCAACCGATACAACCAATATACTGAGTCGACGCACTGCCAACTAGTAGAACCAGAATGTCAAGTCGACGCACTGCCAACTGACACAACCAAAAGTACTGAGTCGACGCACTGCCAACTAGTAAACCAAAATGCCGCGTCGACGCACTGCCAACTAACAGCCAATATCCAATGTCCAAAACCCGAGCACAACTTGTCGACGCACTGCCAAGCAAGAAGTGTGGAACCAAAGTTCTCAAGTCGACGCACTGCCAACTGACCAAAACAACCCGAGCACAACTAGTCGACGCACTGCCAAGCTAGAGGTGTGGAACAATCTCAACAAAGCCCGAAGGCGACGACACTAAATGCCGCGACTAAACCAGATGCGGCGAATCCGACTTTCTGATGTCTCAACTCAAACTCAAATCACAGTAGCTACAAGTGCTCAGGGAGCAACTCGTCGTGACCGGGCAGGGGCAGCAGAACTTCTTAGGGTGGAATCACGCGGCACGCAAATTGTACAAAACAATCTGAAATGAGAGTGATTCACAGTCCGGGGGAAAGCTTTCTAATACAAAGAAACGACGTGCTACTTATACTGTCTACGACGATGCTTAGTAGAGTCCTGTACAACTGCATAGTAGCTACGCTATCTAAGATCGGTTGCCTTTTAGGGTAATTGAAAAGTTGAACGATCGGACAGGTCCTGAGTGATCAGGACCCCGCCCCATAGTCCATATGATACTTTTGATGTGGGTCAACCCGCCGCGTCATACTTTTGGAATACGACGTGCTGGATTGGCCAACGGGTATGTCTTGGCATGTGAGACCAACGTGGGCGCCCCAAGAAGCCGTATGGCCCTAGGCACGCCAGTCGTCCCCCACATGGTTTGGCTCACGGATCTAGCCGTGTCGATTTCTAGTGTGTTTGGGTGTTGACGCGCATCGCCGTGGCACTTGGGAGTGTCACCGCGACGCGTCCTCAATGTCCCGTGATCGAATGGATCCTGACATGTGACAAGTCGTCGTCGTGGCATGATCTGAGGAAACGTCCAACTCAGAACCGGGAGTTGCCGCGACAAGATGGTTTAAGTCTCGTAACGCCAAGTCCTGTCCAGTAGTAGTTCTATTATTGAGAACGTCGCGCATTGCTCAGCCCTTCAGCCCAAGTTCCCATCTGCAGAGAATGACCCTTTTCGAGAAGTCGACGCAACGACAGATCCCTTTTTGGGGGAATGGTCGCGGTCCAAGCGGTCGTCACTAATGGCCCTGAGCCTGGTGTAGACTCATAAGACCAGTTCCACAGTAGTGGTCTGACTGCCTTGCTATCGTCGACACTATCCACAGTCGTCGACTGGGCAGTAGACCCTTAAGTCCTACTGAGCGCAACACTGTCAACCGCGACACGATACACCGAGTGGTTCAAGAGTAAACTCTGTAAAAGCGCAAAAATACGCCCTTACAGAGTTGGTGCAGAGCGCGTCTGGTAGCCAGCCTATCACCGTTTCTCGACAAAGTGCTCAGAGAGACAATGCGATTGTATTCCCCGTCATTCAGCGCCCAGCGCGCCGCAATAGCGGAAGATGTGCTGCCGCTGAGCAAGCCGTACATCGACTGCCAAGGCGTCCGACATGACAGTCTTCCGTTCGTCTCCATCCTTTTATTATCATAGACTTGGGGCACTAAAAGCATCGCAAAATCAACAACAGGATCCGCAAGGGTCAAGTTTTTACTATTCCGGTCCTGGCAATCAACACTAGCAAGGAGCTTTGGGGAGAGGATGCGCTCGAGTTCAGGTCCCTTTGGCTTTTTGTTTTGCACGTGACATCCTATGTTGACGCTTTCGCAGACCCAACCGCTGGGACAATCTCCCGGAAGCTGTGCATGCCATTCCCGGGGTCTGGGCGCACCAGCTGACTTTCCTCGCTGGCGCGCACAGCTGCATGGGTTTCCGCTTCACCATTATCGAGTGCGTTGTCATCTTGATCTCGCCCAAACTGTCTCGCTCCTCTGATTTACTGACACCGCTTTTCCAAGGCAAAAGGCAATCCTTTTCAGCCTGTTGCGCAACTTCATCTTCTTCCCTGCTTCGGACGACGTCAAGCCCACAATTAGTGCAACGTTCCAGCGTCCTGTCTCATACGTTTCGCGGAGTGGCCAGGCTGGTCTGGTTTTGGCCGGCGGTCTGCGTATGGGAATCAAGTCATACAAGGGTGGAGTCCATGCTTGAACATTCAGATAGCATAGTCTTGTTCAGGCAGGTTCAGTCAAAATACTGTAACGGATTCACAGTTCGCGTCTTATTGATAACTAGATTAGAAAATTGTCGAGCCTGGCCTTCAAAATAAGCTTCGTCATGCCATACACTGCCAAACCTGAACCGCGGTTCAAGTTTAGACGGTTCGGTTCAGAGGTTCAAACCGGTTCAAACCGCTGAGCCAACTTTTCATGAGAATATGGCATTTTTCAGTCCAGTAGGACTCAAATGCAAGGAAATCATGTGTAATAAGTCTACAGATGTAAACAGGCAGATCTTGACAGATTTTGGAATCTTTTTGAACAATTTGTCAGGGCATAGTTGTCCAAAAACCTTGACATTGAGATGATTAAATCAGCATCACTTGGCTTTACATTGGACAGAATCCTTGGTCTATCCCTGAATTTATTGAGACACACCTCAAACAAGTTCAGTTGTATAGAATTTGAACTTTTGAAGGATGAAAATAGGTTCTACAAGCCTGTTCAGCTACAAAAATGCCTCAAGTAATTTCGTTGGTTCAAACCAGTTCAAACCAAGTTTGCCTTTTTTGGTCTCCCCCAAACTCCAAACCGAACCACGGTTCAGGTTTGGGCATTTGGCCAAACCCGAAACCCGAACTGGAGTTCAGTTTGGTTCAGTTTGGGTTTGAACCAATTCCCGAACTGAACCCTGAGAGCACTATCACGATCTAATGACCCTTACTTATGACTTGTACCATAGACTCTGTCTTTAGGTACAGCTAATGATATAGCTCCTGTGTCTCTACACTTGCTGAGACTCTGTCTTTAGGTGATGGTTACTGGTTGTATCTCCTCTGCGCAATAATGTCTGTGACAGAATACTCCAAAAAAATCTTGCCTGTTGCCTTGGATTCTTCCAAGGCCTCTGCAGCCTCCCTGGCATGGACCAATGGATTGCATGTGCAACAAGAGTGTCCTGCTACAAGTCCCAGGGAGTCAGTAGTTGGTGTTGATATTGGCTGGGTCCGTTTCCTTGATAAGGCAGATTCTGTTGGTGCCTTTCTCTTGGCAGCTGGCCATGCAGCTTGCCCCTTACCTTTCCTGGCTTGCACTTTTGCATACCACTTTGCAGCCTTCTCAGCACAGTCTGATCACAATATCTTTGCAAATTTGGCATGCTTTTGTTCCCGGTCGTCAAACAGAGGTATTGGAGCAATGAGTTCCAGGGGAATTACAGCTGAAATTAGATGCACATTGTGGAATGCATGTTTGTACCAAATGACGGTCAAGGGGTTTGTGTTCCACAAAAAATTCAATGTTCTTGGATTCAACCCACTCCTGCTGTTGGACTTGCTGTCCTGTAGCTTCACACTACACAGTCAGGCAGTCATGCTGCACACTAATTTCAAACAGAATGTTCTGTGTATCCCAGTTTTTCAGTCCAAACTATACTTAAGATGCAGAACCATGCTTACAAAAGAGTGAACAATGAAATTGAGTCAATCACAAAACACGTCACACTCCTCTAATCAGCTTCTCAGATGTGTGAAAGTGTGAGAGCTTCAATGGTGACAGAACACTGAATCTAAAATCTCTCTTAAACTCAAGACTAGATCTGAGCAGTTGCAACATGGTAGTGTCACACAAAGACTCAAATAAAATCAACAAATCCCAAATCAAACAACCAACAAATCAACCAAGGCAAGAGAAAACTCGGTACAGGGTACTGAGTGCTCTTGTTGCAATGGCTTCCAAGGATATGACACCAAACCCAACTATAAACCAAGTGAACCTTAGTACCAAGTACTCAGGTCTTTTGTCTCAACAGTGTGACAATCAACAAGAAATAAAGTCAAAAAGAGCAGTGAATTTGAAGACTGGAGAATACAACTAAGTAGCTACAGTATTTATACCCAAATCCAGTCTGAGTCATATCTACAACTAATGAGTCATAAGACTATGTACTGCATGGAGCGCTGGTCATGGGTTGTGGTAGAACCTTCCAGAGCATATGTTGTGCAGCCTTGAATCGGTAAAGATAATTCCCTGGACCCCTAGCCCGGACCATCAGATGCTATGATCTGTGATAAGATAAGATAAGATTGTTGATGATAAGATGATAAAGTGGCCAAACTATGACAAACAGCGTCCAAATGGTGACACTAAACCCAAACAAATGTTGACACACTGCCAACAGGTGTGATCCCAATGACAAGCTTGCAATGGGTTTGACCACATCTACAGACCGGCGTTGATTGACATGACAGGTGGCAGTGTACCATCAACCATTAATGCTCAATATTTGGTTGTGCATAACAATCCACAATGCCAGTTTCAAAACCATTCATCAAACACGGTGCAACGGTGCAAGACTGCCACAGAAATTGTCCTCAAACTAGGACTGAATTCCTGGAACGGTCCAGGCAGGCCCAGAAGGTTGAGATCAGCCCAGGACTTGTCTCAGAATGCAGTTTCCCGGTTTCACATTTCCATTATATTATAGGTCTCATGTGTCCTTTTATTTCTTCTAGCTAACCCAAATTGCTCTCTATTCATATCTCTACAGTATAAATACTCCTGTACCACTACATAGAATAGCAGTTGATTTCCCCCCATTTCTCACTTGGGAGTTTATCTCACAAAGAATCCCAGAGCCTACCCTTTGAAGCGCCATCGTATTATCCTTGCTACGTTGTTGTTCTCCTTCCAGTCTCATTTTACTTTGTTCCACATCATTGTTATTCCTCAGCGCTCACTTACTGAGTCTGACAGCCCCCCAAAACCCCTTGAATTCATTGCATCTACTGTGGCCATTTGTCCCAGGCAATCACCATTTCACCAATGGCACTCTTGCCGTCTTCTCCCAGTCGGATCTGAGCCCAGGCACTGTCATAATTCGACTCTTTTTCATCTTATCATCGACGATCTCATCTTATCTCGACATGGATCATCTTATCACGGATCGCGGCATCTGACGGTCCAGGCTTGGGGGACAGGGGTCATCTTTATCGATTCAAGGCTGCGCGACATATGCTCCGGAAGATTCTACTACAACCCATGACCAGCGTTCCATGCGGTACATAGCCCTATGACTCATTAGTTGTAGATATGACTCAGACTGGATTTGGGTATAAATACTGTAGCTACCTGGTTGTATTCTCCAGTCTTCGAATTCAGTTCTCTTTTCGACAGTATTTCTTGTTAATTATCACATAATTCGAAGACTCCCCTCATACCCTCGTACCTCTTACCTCCTACCCTGCATCACCGCACCGCTACGCCCGCTATATCCTCTTCATCCTTATCACCCCACTTACCCTTTTACCAAATCATCTAGTCGTCCTCTGCGATCGCAGTGAAGGGTTCATATCAAGCAAACAGCACCAGGCCACGGGTAACGTTGAGCCCGACCCAAGCCTTACGGTAGCTACAAGGAGTGCTGCGGAGACCTTCGGGAAAACGCACCTCGGGATCATCGGGCACGTGAAGAGCTAGGCCCGGGATCTTTTTGCTAGCAAAAGAACCCTCCCTCGAGTGCTTGTACAGCACACGAATCCACCATTTCGTTCCGATTCCCATCGTTGTCTGGGAGTCTGTCTCCTCCTCCCATCCTACCATCGTCGCCCGATCTGGCGCATCAAAACCAACCCGGGTCCTCCAACCCCTACCTCGCCCTCCCGCCTCCTGAAGACGAGATCCCCGACCTTGGCGAGTTACCCTCCGAACAACCACCCTCGCCCCCACCTACCACACCTGCTCCTACCATGTCAGGACATCACCGCATCACCCTCGCCGCCAATCCTCCCTACTTCGATGGCGACAAGTCCAAGTACCTGGGCTTTGTGGACGCGTGCACCACTTACATCGGTGCCTATCGGTCGGAGTTCTAGCTGGACGAGACAAAAATCCTCTTTGTCCTGTCCTACCTCCGAAATGAGAGCGGCACAAGCTGCGCCGCCTCAAGATGGGCGATGAACTGGAAGCAGCACAATTTCGAGGGCTTCCAAGGACTAAAGGCGGGAGTCACCGCAACAAGCTTCTTGGAGGAGCTTCAGAGGGCCTTTGGGGATTCCAACGCAGAGCAAGTCGCTGCCGCCCGACTCATGGCCCTTCGCCAGGGCAGACGGTCCTTTGCGGACTACATCTCCGACTTCGAAATGCTGGCTGCAGACGCGGGGTACAACGTGGTCACTTCCACCGACAGCAAGGGCGAGTACAAGAAGGGGGAACAGGACAACATCCTCATCGAGTTCCTGGAGCGCGGACTCAGCAGCGAAATTGCAAGCCGCCTCTACAACACCGGCGTTCCCCTGCCTAAGGCATATGGTGCCTTCAAGAACTGGTGTGTCAACATCGAGGCCAATGCCTTGCGCGATCAGCTGCGTAAGGCCTCCTATGCGCACTCAACTCCACGGCCTCCTCCCCAATTCCGCCCTCAGGCAGCACCAGCGGCGCCCACGCCTGCTCCGACCCGACCGGCTGCCAACGAACCGGTCCCGATGGAAATCGATCGCACCCATGCCCGCGGCCGCAATATCATCTGCTACAACTGTCAGCAGCCTGGGCACATCGCGCGGAACTGTCCGGAGCCCAAGAAGAAGCGCACGTTCTTCAATCGGGCCACAATGCTGGAAGAGATCGAGAACGGGGATAAGGACAACGAGTTCCTCAAGGAGATTGCCGAGAAGCTGCGTGAGAAGGGTTTTTGAAACGCTCCACTCCTCTAGCCAAGGAGGTGGAGCGTCCGGACTATGGACGATTTTCTGTACTTGTTTCAATTAAAGACATGAACGATTCTGCACATACATATACAATCTCGGACTCACTACGTACCAATATTCACGATTTCCTCATTGCTGATATGGAAAAAGAACGCCAACGAAAAATAGCTTTAAATAGAGAGTATTTATAAGGTAAAAAGGATCAGAAAGCTGCAGATAAATTAATTTTGGATTCATACATATTTATGGCTTGTGGAGAAGGAACCACATCAACAAAGACCAAAAAGGG